TTTCCCTTCATTTTCTCGTTGATGATTCCTTCACTTATAGAGCCAAATTAGTTTGTTTGTCATGTGCGTGTATTTAATACAAGTTTTTGATTGAATTTTTCACCAGAAGTATTTTAAAATTAAATTTCAAGGAGTTAGGATAGTAGTACTTTAATTAGACATATTCAAGCTGGGAAACTAAATTCACATCTTTGTTCCTCAGAGTGCTCTTGACCCAGGGGTTCTGCTAACCGTATCTGAGTTCCACATATTTTTGAAGCCTCTTCTGTTGGCAGAAAGGAATCCCTGGATGATAGACTTGAGTTCCACATATTTTTGAATCCTCTTCTGTTGGCAGAAAGGAATCCCTGGATGATAGACGGACAATTTTTGGAACTGCAAGGACCTTCTTGCAGAAGTATCTTGCAGAAGTAGTCTTTAAACCCAACTGGTTGTAGGAGCAAAATTGAGTTTTTCTCTATTTCTTTACTAACCTCTGTCTCCCCTCTCCCATGAGTTGCTAGGACTTTAACTAACTAGCTTTGATAATATTTTGTTTTACTTTTTTCTTTTAACTTAACTGAAGATAGCCATAATGTTTCATTTTAAAATGGAACCAGTGAATTGAATTTATGAATTTCATGGATCAATACTTTGAATATTTTCCTTTCAGATTCTGGAAGAAGCAACTGAAGAGGAAACAGCACTTCATAATCGAATTATGCCCACTGTGGTTCGTCCCCCAAAACAGCTGCTTCCTGAATCTACACCTGCAGGAAACCAAGAAATGGTGCAGAATTGTTTTAAGCTAGATAATACTGTTGGTGCTCACGTTGTGTCCTCATTTTAAAATATTGCTGCAAGATGAAGTCACATGTCCTTTTTCTAACTCTAATAGAGATATGAATATGTTTACTGCATTTATCAGAAACTACACCTGGTGTGTTGCAGGCCTTCTGTGTAAAACATTGAGATTCAATTCTCAGTACTACTACTTTTTTTCCTATTTACTGAGTGGCTTAGTGCCTTGTGATTTAGATGCATGGTGGTTAAGACTTTTAAATTGCATCTGTATTCCTGGGACTTAATAAAAATAATATGTGAAAGGCTTTATTTTTAGGTTAATTTTTAAATATGTTCCTATTAGTTTATGTTAGAACTTAATATTTTAATATTTCTAGGATAGCAGAATGTTTTAAAATACTCAAGAATATACTTTTTTAAGAAATGAGAGGTGGTAAAGAAGCAATCTTAAAACCTGACTTTGAAATATTCAGAATTCCTTACTGTTTTCCAAGTAATGTTTTGTGGATGAGTAGTTAAAATTTTTTTAGCTTGAGTGTGTTAATGGACTTAATTTATACTATTACTTTATTCTTTTCGTCTTGTTTTATTTTTAGGAGCTGTTTGAACTTCCAGTAAGTGAAGAATGTTTACTTGTTACCTAAGTATATCTTTAAAAAAAATTATTTTTTAATTGAGGTATAGTAGATATACTTGTATATCTGTTTTAATTCTTAAAAAATAATAAATGGTTTGTGCATCTTTTGAAATTACATAGGCTATTTATGAGATAGGAATTGTTCGCCAGTTCCCATTTTCTTCTGCTTTGCAACGTATGAGTGTGGTTGCGAGGGTGCTAGGGGACAGGAAGATGGACGCCTACGTGAAAGGGGCGCCAGAGGTCATTGCCGGTCTTTGTAAACCTGAAACAGGTAAGGAAGCAGCTAGGCTTTGAGTGAGATTCTGTTATTTGTGTAAGCTTGTAGTCACAATTCTAATAATGACCTTTATTTTCTCCTTCTTAAAAGTTCCTGTTGATTTTGAAAAAGTTTTAGAAAATTACACCAAACAGGGCTTCCGTGTGATTGCTCTTGCACACAGAAAATTGGAGTCAAAACTGACATGGCATAAAGTGCAGAATATTAGCAGGTAAGGTTGGTGAATGGTTTTTCTACAGTTTTTCCAATAAAGCATCATAAAAGTCTTGTACAATAATTTATATTCAGTTACTATTTATTTGTTAAATATTTATTGGATATATGCAAATATGTAACAGTTCAATGTTTGTTTTAGGCAGTTGAGATAAAAGTACAACTCTCTGGAGCTACTTTTATTTTATTTTTTTAAAGCTACCTTACCTTTAAAATATTTATTTATTTATTTTTTGGCTGTGTTGGGTCTTCATTGCTGCATGCGGGCTTTCTCTAGTCCTGACGAATGGGGGCTACTCTTCGTTGTGGTGTGCGGGCTTCTCATCATGGTGGCTTCTCTTGTTGGGGAGCACAGGCTCTAGGCACACGGGCTCAGTAGTTGCGGCTTGCAGGCTGTAGAACACAGGCTCAGTAGTTGTGAGAACGGGCTTTGTTACTCGGCGGCATGTGGGATCTTCCCAGACCAGGGCTTGAACCTGTGTCCCCTGCATTGGCAGGCGGGTTCTTAATCACTGCGCTACCAGGGAAGTCCCTCTGGAACTACTTTTAGTTTATTTGTTAGATATTTATTGAGTGCCTGCTATGTGTCAGGCATGTTTTAGGAACATAATTGTTTTTGGTAAACATAATTCTACAGAAGTTTATTTTTCCCCAGTGATCTACAGTTATTCCTTGGTATTTGTAGGGGATTGGCTCCAGGACCTGCCTCACGGATTCAACTGTGGATTTTGTAGTACTGTAGTATTTATTGAAAAAAATCTGTGTGTAAGTGGACCCACACAGTTCAAACTTGTGTTGTTCAAGGGTCACCTGTACTTGCTTTTGCCCAGTAGCTGAAACCAAGTATCATGAGTCACAATAACCACACCCTCCCACCCTCACCCACAAAGGTCAGATGGCCATTACCAGCGTCACGTTTACTTCCAGTTATAGCTATGGGTTTCACATTCAAGGATTGTCACTTTTACCATAACTGATAACAGACCGACCTTTTGAAGATAACACTTGTTTAGGAATGTTTCACGGGGTACCTAGCATTTTGTAAGCAGAAAGAAATATTTATTGGCTATCCTGCTAATTCTGCCTATCAAGTAGCCTTTTCTTCTCACAGCCCTGCCCTGCTGCAGTTGTCTCTAATTCAGGGACTCAGCTCTTTAGTCCAGTCTTTCCTATATCTAATCTGTGTACCACACTGTATCTACAGAGAGCTCTTTAACATTCAAATCTAATACTAGTCTTCTACCTGGAATTCTTATAAATAGCTCCCTATCATCTACTGGCGGAGTTCACAAGCAAGAATATGAATCAGGAAATAAACAACAGAATACATACTTAGTTTAAAAAAAAAAGTAAATGATTCAAACATAATTATCAGAAAAAGACATGCACATGGCCACTGAACACATGAAAGTGATAAGACACTTCAGTCTTGGGGAACTACAGAATTAAACCACAGCAAGACATGACTTCTTTCTTAAGGTTTACAGAATTGAAAAGATTGATGATATCAAGTGTTAGAGAAGGCTCGAGAAAATGTTAACAACATACTGCTACTGCACTATTGTAAATTTGTAAAGAACATGCATAGTACCTATCAAAATCTCAACTTGCTTATAAAATTTAACCCAGCAAGTGCAGTTCTAGGAATCCAGCCTAAAGAAATATTTCCATGTGAGCATAAGGTTCAAATTTAAATAGTATAAATACATATGATAGTGGTTAGATCCTGAAGTATTAATACTTCTGTTAATTATTCTAAGCGCATTATGTGAAAAGGGTAGGACGGTGTTTATAGTACAATCCTGTTTTTCTGGATGAGAACTAAAGGAGTGGTGTGGATAGCCAAATAATAACTAGAAGTAAAAACAACTTTAGGAATTCTACCTATTAAAACAATACTGGGGGAATTTGGTCTAAGCAGGGACGTTTAAAAAAAAAAAAAAAGACAGCGGCAACCAAATGATATGCATGCATATGTGTGATTGGGAGCCACACATGTAAAATATTATACCCTAATTCCTACGAAGGGAACATTAAGGTTGTCTTTCTCTACGGCTTTGCCTTTTACCACCTCTCCTCCCCCACCTTAAAGACTGAGAACTGAGTTGCCTATGGTTCTTGAGCCTGTCTTTCAGGCATCCTCCTGTGCCCTGGACAGGCTGTTCCGTCTGTGCAGTATACCCTACCCTCCCTATCAACCCTTCTCTCTCTCTACTCCCCTTCCTCACCTTTCAACCAAGATCTTCTCTGTGTTTCCATTCTACCTGTAGGAACAGGTTTTGGCATTTCTCTTACAGCTTGAACCTGTATATCTTGAATTGAATATTGTACTGTTCATTAACTAGAGGGCAAGATTTCCATGACCTGTATCATTCCTAGGAGAGTTAGGAAACCAGCTGCAGCCAGAAACTAGAACCTCACAGGAAAATGGTTACAGAGCTTTGACCCAGTAGTTTCACATTGGTACAGCTTTGTGCTTTGAAATGCATTTTCAGGTTTCAAGGCTTATTTCTCCTGTTACCACCAGCAGGATAATTCATATTAAGTTTTCTAACTATTCTTTAATATCTTTACCACTCATTGTATAATTATATAATTTCAAAGATGTTTTAGATTTTGTCGCTGTTTACTTAAGCACCCTTATTTTGAATTTTGTGTAGAAAAACCACTTGGTTATTGCAAGTCTGAAATTTTGGCCCCTATCTTCAAACCCCATTTTCACTATTGAAAAGAATATTTCTGTGATATAATTTTGATAGCTTTAGATTTTTTAAGAATGCAGCTGTCACTGAACAGACTTCATCTCCATCGTAGTGCTGAAGCACATATTATTTTTGCATAATCCCTTTGCTTGCATGTCTGTTTCCCCACAAAAGGGTCTTGAGAGTAGAGATCATGCCTTTTCATCTTTGACTTCCCAGTGATGAGTGTACTACTTGGTGCACGGTAGATGATCAACTATTTGAAGAAATAGCATCTTGAAAACTATTGAATATTAATATTCTAAAAGACCCATCTCTGGATCCTGAGTAGATCTCATTGTTGGACTGCTAATAGTTTTTTTTTTTTTTTATAATTTTTTTTTTTTTCTTTTTTAGATGTTGGGGGTAGGAGTTTATTAATTAATTTATTTATTTTTGCTGTGTTGGGTTTTCGTTTCTGTGCAAGGGCTTTCTCTAGTTGTGGCAAGCGGGGGCCACTCTTCATTGCGGTGCGCGGGCCTCTCACTATCGCAGCCTCTCTTGTTGCGAAGCACAGGCTCCAGACGCGCAGGCTCAGTAGTTGTGGCTCACGGGCCTAGTTGCTCCGCGGCATGTGGGATCCTCCCAGACCAGGGCTCGAACCCGTGTCTCCTGCATTAGCAGGCAGATTCTCAACCACTGCGCCACCAGGGAAGCCCCTGCTAATAGTTTTTGTATCACGCTTCCAGCATCAAGAATTTGATCAAGAGTTTTATAAAATTCCTCAAAGACTTGATAATGAATCCAGTATAACTATTGAATGTGCCTGTGTACAGTTTTTCCTTTTCTGTTAACATTTAAATTAGAGTATATTCGACGGGGAACGGTAAAAAATAGATATATTTTATGGTCATTTATTTTGTAGGTAGGATACAAGATGAATATTCCTTAGTACTAGAAGTATTTAGTGTCTTAGACAAAGATATACATTTCCTAAGGATCTTTATATGCCCATGTTTCAAGGGTAAAATTTAATTTCAAAATGTATTTCTTGGGAATTGTTTTTTCAGATTTAAGTTCATTGAGATCGAACTCAGAAACTTATACATTTATGGTTTATTCAGCATATAAAATGTTTTAATTTATAAGTTTTGGCTATTTTAAATTGCCTTATCGACATAAAATGAACAAATACCTGTTCTCTTGACTAAATCATTAAATTTCTTTCTCTGCAGAGATGCCATTGAGAACAACATGGATTTTATGGGATTAATTATAATGCAGAACAAATTAAAGCGAGAAACCCCTGCAGTACTTGAAGATTTGCATAAAGCCAACATTCGCACTGTCATGGTCACAGGTTAGACTTTATAGAAGGACACACACAGAAAAAAATCGAGTGTGACTCTTAGAGATCAGGTTATCTAATATTGAGGAATGATCAGTTAGTTATAAAAGCATACTTATTACTGTTGATATATAGCTCCATCTAATACTACACTATTATCCTATAACTCAGGTAATTAAATTTATTATATAGTTGCTCCATCTTACATTGCCCTATTTCAGCTCTGAATACTTTTCCAAGATAGAGGACAACTTTACAGTACACTTTGGAGGTCTAGCAAATCTGTATATAATAAGTATAATACAGTAGTGAAAGGCACACTGTAAATATTTAACTGCTCTTTTTTGTTCTCTCTCTTTAATCATATATTTCTTATAGCGGTTGTTTTACTCTGCCTTGTGTTAGTTATTTGTAGATTTGTTTTCTCTATTAGAATATAAGATTCTTGAGGGTTAAGAATATGATTTACTTATTTTGAGACTGTCTATAATTTTTAGAACTGTGCCACATACATGAAAAATGATTAATAGATATTTGTTATAATTATATTTTTATATATAAGATAGTACATTTATCATTGTGTGTAACAGTGAAAAGAGCCATTTTTTGGTTTCTTTCTTGACTGCTACATCTAAATGATTGTCCTGGTGTTTATCATACTGTGATGATCAACAGTTTATTATACTGTGGATAATATTAGATAATTCCTTTCTTAGTCGTATGAAATTGTGGCAGCTCTTAAATTGTTTTTTTCTTAGCAAATAATCAGATTTAAGATATTCACTTTATGGCATTTACGTGTTCAGTAAGACATATGGAAAGAGCTTGTGTACATTTTTATGTTTTAGACTCTGAGATCCATCTAATACCATACTTATTACCAGATAGCTCAAGTGACCAAGTTTATTAGCATCCCAGCAGTTCTTGGTTCTCATGATCCTGCTTCAGAGCACTTTGTCGGTATCACTGGCCCTTGTTTTCCTGCCCTGGACAGAATATGGCATTGTGTCTCAAGAGGATCTGTCAAGTCATAGGAAGACACGCTTGGAAATAGTGTGTGGGAATTGAAGGAAGAGACAATAGTGCCCTTCTGTTCTGGTAGCAGTGGGCTCCCCAGACCTTTGCCTGCCTCTCCTGTACATCTGCATTTTCCTCTCTTCATCTTGTCTTTACAGTGTCTTTAGTTCTTTCCTTTCGTGACTGAGAAGTTGTCTGTCTTGCTTCTCTTTATATCTTGTAAAGATTGTATTCTTGTTACTTTGCTTATCTTTTTGTTTTGTGTAATCTTAACTTTTGTAACTCACTTTTTTCTGTGATGCTACTCTCATATTCTTGTACAGATTACCAGTCACTCCCAGGTTATTTCAACAATATTTATTGAGCACTGTGCCAGGCGTTGAATGGGTACCACTAGTCCATGACTCAAAAAGATTGAGACTGTATTTGTCTTTAAAAGTTGTGGGTGAGAATGTTCTGAATATTTAGTATCTATGTGCTTTTGAATTATTTGAGGCTTCTTTTGATATATATATATATATCCTGATTTTATTATTTTTAAACTCCAAGAGTAAGGACCATACATTAACTTCATTTTGCCCAGCCCAGTAATGGGGACTGTAGTAGATTCTCAGTAAGTACTTGTTGTTTAATGCATTCATGTTTCTGTTGTAATGTTAACGTATTTTCAATATTTTGAAAATTAGGTGACAACATGTTGACTGCTGTCTCTGTGGCCAGAGACTGTGGAATGATACTACCTCAGGATAAAGTTATTATTGCTGAAGCATTACCTCCAAAGGACGGGAAAGTTGCCAAGATAAATTGGCATTATGCAGACACCCTAACACAGAGTAGTGATTCATCAGCAATTGACTCAGAGGTAATATTAAGTAGAATTTTCTTTTACAAAACTTGCTTGTTTTAATTTATTCTGAAAAAATGTGCATTAAAAACACAACAAAAACTCAACAAAAACAGAAGCCTGGGCCATCTCCTCAGAGACTCTGATTCATTAGGACTGGGGCAGATGTAGGTCTCTCAGTGTTTAAATTTTGATATTTAGCCAAAGTTGAGAAGCACAGTTTTAAAGTATAAGAATCCCAAATACTTATCCTATTTTAAAAGTAGTGGTAAATGATGCAAGTGATCCATAATGTTTAGCTCATGGATCATTTCAAACCGAAGCTGATATTTAGCCTCCCTTAAGTTTTATTTTTTAAATACACAATATAGACAGATTACCTTAAAACTGAATTTTCTTTTACTTTCAATAAATGTTAAACATTCAGTTGTCTTGTGTAAAACATCAAATGAAAGAATTTAGTTTTGGATCAAATATATTTAAAATAGGATTGCGTTACTTGGTTTGGCTAAATATTGTTCTGAATGTCTTATACACAGGCTATTCCAATTAAATTGGTCCATGATAACTTAGAGGATCTTCAGGTGACTCGTTATCACTTTGCAATGAATGGAAAATCATTTTCGGTGATATTGGAACATTTTCAAGACCTTGTTCCTAAGGTTAGTGATTTGGGTTATGTATGTGTTCATACAAATACACTGTGAACAGTATTTTAAAGAAATTTGTATTTTTTCCAGTTGATGCTACATGGCACTGTGTTTGCTCGTATGGCACCCGATCAGAAGACACAGTTAGTAGAAGCATTGCAAAATGTAGAGTAAGTATTGGTGGATTTTGTTTTGGTTTTGGTTTTTTTGGGGGCCCTGCTGCAAGGCATGCGGGATCTCAGTTCCCTGACCAGGTATCGAACCCGTGCCCCCTGCAGTGGAAGCACAGTGTCCTAACCACTGGATCGCCAGGGAATTCCCTGTTTTTGTTTTTTTAATGTTTTATGAATTGTAGTTTTGTTTTCAAAACCAGAAAAGTAACTAATATTTCATGTATATAAACTTGCCACCTGTAAGATAGGTAAGTGCCTCTTTAAAAGAGGCTCATCTGCTTATTTATTTAGGTAAAGTACAATATCCACCATTCCTTTTCTAGGTGATATCCATGAGGATATCATTCACTCTTGAATGATCGAAGTGATGTTATACTTTTAGTAACTAATTATGTTTCACGTTTTTAAGGGAGAAATCTTTACTGATAGCCTTAAAAGTAAGTGTACTAAAGACTAGGCAGGCCCAATCTTTGCTCTAAACATTAGGAAACTGAGATGCCACAATGATAAACTAATGGTTGCCCATCTTGTGACAGTACTGGAGCAGTGACCCAGGTCATTTGACTTGCAGGCTGGCGCTGTTCGCAAAGCAGCATGCCTGTGGTCATTGTAATGAAAAGATTCATTAGTCCCATTGGGGGAATCAGGGTCTGTCAGCTCTTCAAAATACTGTGTTGGAGGAAATCTTAAGTTAAAAGTTGTATGTTTTTAGAAATTAATCAAAATCTTAACATAATTTTTGTTTCCTAGTTACTTTGTTGGGATGTGCGGTGATGGGGCAAATGATTGTGGTGTAAGTATAGATTTTGTGATTTGTAGTTCTTTCTGTGGCCTAAATCACATGCACAAAACTCAAGTAATTTTATTCTTCAAACCATTAGGCTCTGAAGAGGGCACATGGAGGCATTTCCTTATCAGAGCTCGAGGCTTCGGTGGCATCTCCCTTTACCTCCAAAACTCCTAGTATTTCCTGTGTGCCAAACCTTATCAGGTAGTATACATTGAAAAACTTCCCATTATCTTTTTGTAGCTTGCTCTAAGAATATAGAAACAAAAAAAAAGTCATAGAAAATAATTTGAATTTGTTTTAATGGTATGTTAGTGTATTTGTTCTATAAATCTTTAGCAACAGATTGATTGCTACTCCTCATTTCTTCCAGTTCTGCTTTGGCTAAGTTCTTTTGGTAGAAAAGTGCTTTGTTGTAACGGTTGAATGTTGATGTTCATCTGTCAAGATATAATTGTGGTTTGGAGGAGGCATTTCAAATACTTCTGTTCACATGCCAACATTTGTTTTCACAGGGAAGGCCGTGCTGCTTTAATGACTTCCTTCTGTGTGTTTAAATTTATGGCTTTGTACAGCATTATACAGTACTTCAGTGTTACTCTGCTGTATTCTGTGAGTACTGACATTGCTAACAGAGATGGTGTTTGAATTAAGATATTGAGCATATATGTTTCAGTTTGAATGCATCCATTAATTGTGGAACTTAAATAACTAGCATCTGTAAATATTCCTTTAGTTTACTATATTTCGAGTAGCAAATTGAAAATCTCATTAATCTGGAATAGCATTTTCCTTAAGGCCAACAACTGTGGATTCAGCCTTGTGAATGAAAGATGATTGTATTCTTTTTTTGCCTTTAGTGCAGATTGGACATCTTTTTAAGGACTCTTCAAAATGTCAAGCTGTGACATACTTTAGAATTGCAGTTAACTTTGCTATCCATTTATAAGGAAAGGCCAGAATGAGAAAAGATGTTTCAGCTGTAGTTTTAGGACTTTTAGGACTTGTATAAACAAGTGATATCCCTAGGTACTCCATAGGTTTTGTAGTTGAAGTGATCTCACTTTAGATTTTTCTCTAAATGAACATTGGTGAGATCCCAAGGAGTCTTTGTGAAACTATCCCCTTTTACCATTTGTGGAAAGTATCAGGCGGGGTGGTGTTAGATATTAAGGAAGCTTCAGGATACTAATTTTCAAGAATGTCCAAACTTTGTGAGTAGAAGTTTGTGTTTTCTTTTTGCCAAAAAACTTTTAAAGTTTTTATTGAATGAATTTTTTGGAGCTACTTTTTATACTAATATATTAAATTGAATTTTGCAAGTATGTTATATTTCACTAATTTAAAGGCAAATCTGTTCATTTTTTAAGCATGTCCAAGTGTCATTTTGAAGTTGTCATTTAAAACCAGGGAGGAAAAATCTAATAAAACCAGAGGGAAATGGTATAAAAGTGGTGCTATAAAAACAGTTCCTGAACACTAACTATTTTTTAAAAATCCCTTCTCTAGATCTTAAGTAACCTAGGAGACTTCCAGTTTCTCTTCATTGATCTGGCAATCATTTTGGTAGTGGTATTTACAAGTGAGTATTTTGCTTTGTTATTGTTTTTAAAGCATACGAAATTCTGATGTGGCTCATTAAACTTTGGTAAATTTACATGAACAGTTGTAACACAGTGCATATCTCTCCATTTTCCCTGTAAGTATGTTCTTTTATTAGTGGTAATTTATATTTTGCCCCATTTGTTTTATTATTTCTCCATTTTTTCTGAAATATTTGAGAATATGTTTATGTTATCATGACCCTTTGCCTCTGAATGTTTTAGTATATATTGCCCTAAACAAAGTCATTTTCTTACACAGCTGAACACAGTTATAATGATCAAGAAATTTAACACTGATACAATTTTACCTAATCCATACCCATATTCAGGTTTGTTATGTGTTCCAGTAAGGTCCCTTATACCTATTTCGCCCCCCTAGTCCCTAGCCCAGGATCTAGTCTAGGCTCATAAATTTCATTTAGTTATCATATCTCTTTTGTCATCTTTAATCCAGAATAGTATGTCAGCCTTTTGGCGGGAGGCTTCTTGACGTTGACCTTTATGAAAGAAGATAATCCAGTTACCCGAGTTTGTCTGATGTATTCTCATTAGACTCAGGCTATGCATTCTTGGCAGGAATACCAAAGAAGTGATGCTGTGTCCTCCTGAGTACATCATATAAGGAGACCAGACGTTGATTTGTTTCAGTATTGGTGATGTTAACATCAAAATAAATAATAATGGTAATGAGATATGATCTATTTAATCAAATGAAAATTCATAAGTCCATAGTGGAAATAAATAAGTGATTGGGAGAGAAGGGAAAGCTCTTCCTTACAGTAAAATGCTAACTAATAATACAGAAGGAATGATTGGCTTATACTATGGAAAGACCCTTGTCTTACTGACATCTTAGGCCGGCTACGTCTTCACTGTGGGGGACTATTGTGTGTGTCATAGGATGCTTACCAGTATCTCTGGCCTCTACCCACTGGATGCCAGTAACACTCCCCCATTTGTGACACCCAGAAATATCTCCAGACATTGCCATATGTTCTCTGGGGGCCAAAATCACTTTGGTTGAGAACCACTGAGTTTGACAGTCTTTAGTGGATGCTACAACTAGTGAATGAAAGTTGATAAGGAACAGGATTTTTACACAGTCTTAGTATCTTTCTACAAATTACTTATTAATTACAAAGAGAAAAATAGAAACGCTACAGTGGAGAAACTTGGTGGAACACCTTAATAAGCGATCAGAGCCTTTTTTTTTTATGTTACTGTTATGTAACCTTTGTACTGATATTAAACCTTTGTTAATATCTTCTTAAGAGGAAGAAATATGTATTATTTTAACTGTAGCTTTGCAATTAAAGATTCAGAAATAAACATACAAGGGTGGTGATGATATATGCTAATATTTACTATTCTTTTTACTTGTACTAGTGTTTCCTTTGAATTTCAATAGACTAATGTAAAAAGTACTCCTGAGCCATTTTTGTAAAAGCCTAAATTGTTTACTTTTACAGATTATTTAGATATGTATAGCACCTGGCTTGTTTTTTGGACATTTCTCATGCTAAATATTTGTTAGAGAAAAACAGGGTTTTTTTCCCCTAAATGTTCCTAAATGAATCTGACAGATGAATTTAGATATAAACCTTTCCTCTCTTTCTTCTCAATGTAGTGAGTTTAAATCCTGCCTGGAAGGAACTTGTGGCACAAAGACCACCTTCAGGTCTTATATCTGGGGCCCTTCTCTTCTCCGTCTTGTCTCAGATTATCATCTGCATTGGATTTCAATCTTTGGGGTTTTTTTGGGTCAAGCAGCAGACGTGGTATAAGGAATCGCATCCACATTCAGAGTAAGTTGGTCAATCCATTAAAAAGTGTGTGTAAAATGTATGTAATATATATGCATGCAAAAATAAGTTTTAAATTTATGTAAAAATTGCATGCAGCTTGACTAAGCACTTAAATAATTTGGCCTGTATTTGACTTTATCTGTAGGAAGGTGGTCAGGCCAGGTCCTAATCACTACCAAGATGGGGACATTGGACGAGTTTCTTAATTTGCTGCTGAGCGTTGCTTTCCTTATCTGTAAAATAAGAAAGTTGAAATTAATCACTAGCGTCTCTTCTAAACCCAGAATGTTTGTGTTCCTAACTTGTCTATCCCCAGTTTGGGAAATGACATTTAAAACCTAAAAAAATTTAAGTAAAGGTATTAAGTGGGTCTTTTATTTGTTTATGGGCAGAGTGTTTTCCAGTTCACAAATTGTGATAACATTATTTTAATCAATTACACATAGGTAAACACAAGGTGTGTTTACCTTTACTATGCTAATATTACTCCCCAAATTTAAAGAATGGGGAAAGGGTTAAGTAAGAGAGGCTTATTAATTAATGACGTTTCTTTCTTGTAATTTTTTAATTGATTGGAATGTGACTAGAAAGAAAAACTGGTTTCCTTTGGGAAACATATTGTGTTTACTAATATAAAATCTTTTGTGTGTGTTTTAGTACACAGGAAGCTTTTAATACAACAGGAAGCCTATATGGGAATTCTTCACATTTGTACAATGAAACCAATCCTGATAGACATAATATAGAAAATTATGAAAATACCACAGTGTTTTTTATCTCCAGTTTTCAGTACCTCATAGTGGCAATTGCCTTTTCAAAAGGAAAACCCTTCAGGCAACCTTGCTACAAGAATTGTAAGTTTGGCATTTATTGTGATTCCCATCCTGCTTCCCTTCTTTAAAAGTAATGCAAGAGTAGAGTTAAAACTGTCCTTTCAAAGTAAAATAGATCTTCACAAATAGAATGAACCTAGTGATTTAGATGTTTACTGTCTTGATTTATTCTCATGGTAGCTGCCACCCTAAGTTTAAAATTAAAGCCAGCAGTTCTAAACATTCCTGGTTTTCACATCCTATTACTTCTGGCTCCAACTTTTATTTTTACAACCCATTGCAAGGAGAGTTAGAATTAGAAGCAGGAACAGAGGTTCCTCAGTTGGAACAGTGGGTATTATACTTTCCTTCTGGGTGGTCTGCATAGCACCAGCTGTCTTTTCTCATTTTTGACACTGTTCCAGCCAGTATTCACCTGGAATTCTTCATTTCTGTCACCTTTGCATCCACCACACTTAAGGGGCCAGTAGAATGGAGGCTTGTGCCTATGTAAGCTTGTCTGCCTGTGGCAATAGGAGATAGCATATTTTGATTGATTACAATTAGGTTTTTTGGGGGGAAAAAATTATTCACTATATGTAAATTGCTAGTTTTAAAAATTTGAGAGTATACTAATTAATATGGAATAACTTAAAAGTTTTTTTCACATAAAACTGTAGACTTTTGCAGTATCTTGGGATGAGTAGTAATTCTTTTGCTGTAAAGAAATGCCAGTGTTCTAGTTGGCAGAGTGTCAGGCCACAGGTTTTGGTGTGTTACAGGGGTGATAACTGCTCACATCTCTATCTCATGTTAGAGTTAACAAAGCATATTCACATATGTTTTCTTATTTAGTCTTTACTTCTACCCTCTGGTTTGTAGGGAAGGTTTTATTACTTTATATTTTGGACAGGTAAGACTGTTTAAAAATATAAGTGCTGATAATAATTGAAATCTGTTTTTTCTCTTTTTTAAAAAGGACTGATATTTCTTATCTAATAAATGGAGGCTGTATTACTGAGAGTCATATTAAAACCATGGGGGACAAAAAGCCTTTAATAGAAGGTTTATCACTGTACTTTTAAGAGAACTTCATAACTTAAGTTACCTTATTATAAGGTGAACTTAAAACATGTATATCAACCTTAATATTTTTAGTTCAATATTTTTAAATTTTAAGGAAATATTGAGCATGCCCAGGGGTAGCTAAAACATCTATCAAAGAACAAAACTTTCTTTACATGAAGAAAACTGGTGTTCAGACTTGTTGATAATAAGTAAGAGAAGCTGCACCAGGAAAGTTAATTTAGAGGTCTAAGTAAATCCACCCTATCCATACTTCTCCAATTAAGAAAAAGAAAGAGACTATTAGTTGCCTATTTTTTAAACACATCTTTCATATTATTTGGGGAAACTTCCAAAAAAAAGGCTCAAATATTTTGATTTCCTATTTAATTTCAAATTGATTTAAATAAACTCAATTGTTGATGGCTGGACTGTTTTTTTTTTTTTTTAAACGTGTTAAAACTTATATTTTAGTAGAAATATAGCCACAAAACCTTTGTCTTTACTATAAGCAGCTTGTGCATGTCTGTCAGTGCATACAGAAGTGCATGCTGTCACTAAAACATGCCTCCTGGAAAATACAATAGGAACAGGAAAGTCAACATATACATACATTGTGATTTTCACATCCTGTCTGTCTGTCTGTCTTTCTGTCATTGAAGTCTCCTGATCTTGGAATGTAGTAAAGAAGGAAAAATAGAGAAGAAAGTAAGAAATGACAGAAGTAAAGTATTACTGTATAAAGTGATATACAATGTAAAGTATAAATACAGATGGAAAAGAGTGGGGAAAAGGTTAAGGCTTTCCTTGAGCTTTCCTTTTGTCCTGCTCAGTAGACAGTTAACAGGTCTTCACTGGGACCTGCTAGTTGCTCTTCTCAATATCTAAACAGTGTAATGTATTCAGTCTATCTTGAGGTGATTATTTTTAAGAATTAACCTCAATCTTAGGCATTTAAGGCATTATAGAGTGTTTTGCTGTCTTCTAGTGGTTCAATTTAATCTAAGTAAAACCTTATTTCAGCCTGTGGTTACCCATTTTTAACTTTAGCTTAGCCCAGTTATATTTTCTCGTTTGACTATGCTATCATTTCAGGGGCCATGATCATACATACTTAGTTCTAACACTCTCTCTCAACTAGATGTGATTTCTTGAGATCTGGCTTCAATTTTTGCTACAGTTTTTTTTATTTGATCCCTATAATTTACTGCTTGTGAAATCCAGGTTCTTTCTCAGTTTATGAAGGCATTATTACTGACATGCCAGTATCCTTCCTGTTCAGGCCTATGTATCTTTTTTTTTTTTTTTTTTTGCGGTACGCGGGCCTCTCACTGCTATGGCCTCTTCCGTTGCGGAGCACAGGCTCCGGACGCGCAGGCTCAGTGGCCATGGCTCACGGGCCCAGCCGCTCCGTGGCATGTGGGATCTTCCCAGACCGGGGCACGAACCTGTGTCCCCTGCATCGGCAGGCGGACTCCCAACCCCTGAGCCACCAGGGAAGCCCAGGCCTATGTATCTTTTGCCTGTTCACCTGCCATGCCTGAATTGGTTGGAGCAGATACCTAGAGGTCCTGCAGAATAAGGTGGGCTTTGAAAGACAAGTAACTCAGTAAGGAAGGAGGGAATAGAAGTACGAAAGACTTGAAATCTGTGTTATAGATCAGGCAGTCCTGGTTAGTATTTTTGAGGAAGGAACAAGAGAGGTATATATCAGAGCCATGGACAAGTATTGCGGATTTATTTACTCCATGTAGGTTTTTATTTTTGAGTCACTTAACTAAGGGGAATATGAAGGAAATCCTTTATAGTGCCTTATTTTGATGCCATATTCCATCAAAAGGAACTGGTATCATTAGAAGAACAATTCTGTGATGCCATAGCTGGGATGTATGTAATAATAACTTAAATCTACTGTTTCCTCCAGGATCATCACCATATCCCCATTTTATAGTTAAAATAATTTGACTCTGAATGACTCGTTGATGTTCACATAGCTTTGTGGCAGCATCTGAAATAGAAGCTAATTCTTTATCTTGTGGAACATTCTCCCTCAGCCGCCAGTCACCACCAACACAGAATTTGTTTTGATAGCTGTCTTCTGGTGAAGAGCATTCCTTGCACTTCAGTACGATCACTAAGGAATCACTGACCATGCCAGGAGAATCCCGGAGTTGAGAGCACAGTCTACTAGAAACTCATACCTCTCCAAAATGAATCCCTGACTTTTCCATTCTTGGTTGAAATCCTTACTGATTTTTTTCATTTTGGTGGTTATCTAAATCTGCCAGCCATCCACCTCCCCTGTCAGATTCCTTTGAATAGTGCCTCTTTTTCTCCCCTGGCTAAACAAAGGAAAGATTCAGTTATTTATTTTTTCCTTCAAATGGAAATCTTGGCAGATTTTTAGAGGTGTGATCAAAGTGGGTGGTTATAGGAGAAGGACAGATGAAAAGTTGAGAAATACTGTTGAGGTAGATGTAAAAAGTTTTTGAGCTGGAGTAAAAAAAAAATTTTTTTCTGGTAACATGTCAGGACTAGATTGCAAGTCTGTTTTTGCTTATCGTTATAAAAATGCAATAGGATTTGAAAAACATTCAATAGGGGCTATTACTTTATTGAAACAAAACCTTTTCTGTCTCTCTTTGGGATTTATATTCTGACATTTTTTTTTTTTGGGTCCTTTTTCTGATTTAGTCTTTGTGTGTGTGTGCTTGTGTGTGTGTGTTCATGTACTTCCAACTAGCACTTTCCGAACAATTTTTCTTTAACTGACTATATAGATATTTGAATGGCTATATAACATGTATTACTTTCATTGCTGCATTTATTGAATAGAATGTTGTATCCCCTGTTTGAAAATTATTTTTTATTATTTGGTGAAATTTTTATTTTTATTTTTTGGCCGCCCCGCACAGCATGTGGGATCTTAGTTCCCTGACCAGGGATCAAACCCACGCCCCCTGCAGTGGAAGCTCAGTCTTAAACACTGGACCGCCAGGGAAGTCCCATCCTGTTTGCAATTTAGTAGAATGTTGGAAAAGATAAAAATCTAGAAAAAAATTTCTTTTTTATCTAAGTGGGTTCCAAATTTTTCATCCTGTTGGTCAGTGGCTCATAGTAAAAGAGTTTCCCCACGTTTGGCATGAATGTTAGTATAACTCAGTCTAAGCTTCTAGAACGATAAATATATATATAAAACAATAAACATATATATATATATAAAACACAGTATTGTTTCTATAGAATAATAACTGTTGGCCTATAGTTTTCAACTGATGGATTAACAAATTTCATATTTACAAATGACTCCCACATTTAAAAATATTGAGACCCCTTCCTTCATTTACAATCTGTAAATAATATGTTAAACTTCTTTATCATGAAGTCTGAAGGCTTCATGATAAAGTTTTGGTTACATGTGGTCATAGTAAAGTTTGAGTTTTGAAGCCGACCTCAAATAGGAACTTAGAAATAAATATCCAGACCAAAGAAAAAAGGCGGGAAAAGTTGGGGTCTGTCAATATAATTGAGACTATTTCTGAGCCCTCTCCACCCCCATGGCTTGTTACATAAGGGTGTGCTTTTATAGTGCATGTGAATGCATGTATGTACACAGTTAACAAAATGTACACAGTTAACAAAATGAGCAGGGAGTTTTATTTTTGAGTTAGGAAAGTGATACAAAGTGCTGATGGATGGAATTTACCATCCCTACCTACCACAGCAAGCCACAGGGTTAGCCCACATTTAAAGTAGCAGATCAACTCAGTTTCTGGGTTTTAGCTAGCATTTTCTGTGGAAATATTTTCACAGAGGAAATTATGAAAAAGTGGGATTCACTGAACAGAAATATACTTAGGTTCAACTTAGAGTGCCTCTGTTTAGGATTATAACATAACTAATACTGAGAATAAATGTTATCAGCATTTTTACAATCAATTGTCTTTGCATGTATGTTTTAAATGATAATCTAATTTTGCCATACGTAGTCTAGTCTCCTATTTGTGAATTATAGATTGGCTTGGTTGTCTTATAAAGTAGGTATCTATCTGTGAGATACACAAATAAATATTCATAAAGGTCTGTCTCTTATTTTTTATAAATGCTGTTTATTTTCACATTACATAAATAAATCCTTTGGGCCTGCGTGATGTATCATACTCTAGGAAATATCATAGAGCACACATTTTATATACTTCATCAACCTGAATAGAAGTATTTAAAACCAAATTTAAGATCGACAGTATACCAGTATGTGCCTTTTTATTTAAAGGAACTCCCTAATTTAATTGTTTTACTTTCTGTTTCAGATTTTTTTGTTGTGTCTCTGATTATTTTGTATGTTTTCATATTATTCATCATGTTGCATCCAGTTGCCTCTGTTGACCAGATTCTTCAGGTAAGACTTAAGCACATCAATTATTACTGATTGTCTGAGGAGTAATAGGATCTGGGATAGCAGTGGTAAATAAGACAGTAGTGGAAAATGACACATCAGTATCACCTAGCCAAATGAGACTTCTGGGTGATTGCTAGGGCTTAAGATCTATCCCCCTCCTCTGCTCTTATGTTACTGGGGAAAGAAACTAGACTGTCTTTGTTTCTTTTTTCCAGGATCTCTTCTTTCCTAATTTTCGAAGATCCAGTTATATTAACCCAAAGGGAGCATAATTAAAACAGCAGCCTTTATTGACTACCTGATATTTTTCTTTCCTGTTTCTTCAGTCTTTGCTTCTAGTTCCATTTCCCTTTGTCCACAAACAAATTAAAAGTCCCTTGGGTCTTTAAAAATAAAAGAACATTGATTCCATTATTTGACCCGTTCCTTACCAACCTACTTCTTGAGTAGTCTGCATGTGCTGCCTCATCACGTGCTGTCCATTGAGTTCTTTATTCTCGTTCTCATTAAAAACTTAATGAAAGATGAAATACTTGTTTTATACAAATGAATATGCATACACGTTTAAGTTGTTAACCACAATAGCAATAAAATAATACCTAGGAGTCCAACATGTAACCTAAAAAAAAGGTAGCATTACCAACACCAGTAAGGCTCTATTGTGCACCTTTCTCCAAACACCCAGAGGGAACCACTACCTCATTGTCTTACTTTTCACTATACCATATATGTATGAAGTCTTAAAAGATAGTTTTGCTTACTTTTGAACTTTATGAAAATGGTATCTGGTAATCGCTGTTTTACTGTGACTTGCTTTTTCCCAAAAGCCTTATTATGATGCTGCATGCATTTCATTTTCATTCTATATAGTATTCCATTACAGGAATATACCATAATTCACTTCTCAGTTCTCTACTGGTAAATAACTGGATTGTTTATAGACTTTTCCTGAATTAATGGTCCTGATGTAAACATTCTTATACACGTCTCTTAGTGTAAGGGAGTGAGTAACATCAAAGAGTTCATCCCAAGTACAAGCAGCAAGGGGGTGTTACAGTGCTGTTGAGAATTTAAAACCAGCAATAAAGCCCACTAAACCGTCCATCTGCTAGAAATATCACCTTGTCAAGGGAATTCTAAACAATGTCAGTGGTAAAATACTCCTTCCGTTACCACCTGCCCTGCCTTGGCATACCACTAGGGCAGACTGTCTTCTGCTGTGTTCTGGTATAAGTTTGAGCATGTGCTCTTTAGCTTTCTGAGGTTCCAGTTGTTTTCCAGAGTGATTATACCAGTTTATACTTCCATCAGTGTATGAGATTTTTTGTTCCACATCTTTGCCAATGTTTGTCTAGTGGGTGTAAAGTGTGATATGACTTTGTAAGTAATTTTGATATATGGTTGGATAGGACCCCTATCCCCACCTCACATTGTTCATCATGATCTTTTTGGCTGTTCCTGAGCTTATCCTCCTCCGTATACATTTTAAGTTTATACCAGGATAAGCCCTTTTGGAATTTTTATTAGAATTACACTGGGTTTATCAAAAAATTGAGGGGGAGAATATCTCTATTTCTTCAGAATATCTTTCTCCCTAAAGATTTTTTTTTTTTTTTTTTTTAAAGAAGATGTTGGGTGGTAGGAGATTATTAATTTATTTATTTTTGCTGTGCTGGGTCTTCGTTTCTGTGCGAGGGCTTTCTCTAGTTGTGGCTTGAGGGGGCCACTCTTCCTTGCGGTGTGTGGGCCTCTCACTGTCACGGCCTCTCTTGTTGCGGAGCACAGGCTCCAGACGTGCAGGCTCAGTAGTTGTGGCTCATGGGCCTAGTTGCTCCGCGGCATGTGGGATCCTCCCAGACCAGGGCTTGAACCCGTGTCCCCTGCATTAGCAGGCAGATTCTCAACCACTGTGCCACTAGGGAAGCCCTCCCTAAAGGTTTTTATACATGTTTTGGTTAGATTTATTCCTGTAGTATTATGGTTTTTGTTCCTCTGATAAGTCTCTGTTTAAAATTGCATTTTATAGTCCTTTTATGCTGGTGGAAGCAGTGCAGTTATTTTGGATATTCATCTCGTATCCATCAGCCTTGTCAAACTTTATTCTTAAAATTTTTAGATTCTCTAGGATTTTGTTTTAGACAGTTATCTATAAATAGTGACTTTTTTTATTTCTGACATTTCAGTCCTTAGTCCTTCTATGTGTTTTTCATGTCTGTTAACCACACGAATGTTGGTGTGATAGTGATGTACTTGTCCTGTTCCTGACTCTACAGGGAGTGTTCCTAGTATTTCACCACTGGATATATTGTGGGCTGTAGGTTTCTGGTATATACTCATTATCGGGTTGAGGAAGCTTATTTCTATGGTGGTGTTAACATAAATAGACGTTTAATTTTATCTAATGCTTTTTCTACAGCTGTTGAAATGATCACATAGTGTTTCTTCCAGGAGAATGTGGTGAATTACAGTTGACTGATATTCAAATGTTGAACCAACACTGCATTCCTAGTATAAATCCAACTTGGTCATGATGCATTCTTTTTTATATCTGCTGGATTTGGTTGACTATGATTTTGTTTAGGATTTTTGCTTGTGGTTCATGAGTGAGATCAAACTTAGTTTTCTTTTCTTGATGTATTGACAGGTTTGGGCATCACGCTTATAAGCACTTTATGGATGAGCATTCCATTTCATGGACTTTTCCATATTTTAACTAATCCCTTTAATGGATATTTAGGTTGTTTCCACTGTTTTGCTATTATAAACAATGCTGTATTTGCAGATTCTTGCACACTTCATTAAGAAGGACAAATGCATATTTAGAGATTAATGTCAGAAGTAGAATTGCTTGGCCCAAGGGTATCTAGAATTTGAATTTTTATAAATACTATGTTATTGAACTTTGAAAAGGTTGACAGTTTATAGTCTTACCAACAGTGTATGAGCATCTCTTTCCCCACATGCTTCATTCAGGGATTTAGATAAGCACTTTAGGCAAAAGAAGAAAATAAAACACACTTATATAATATTTCTCTCTCACCACATGCCTTCTACTTCACAGCCAAATTATTTTTTGAAACAATGCTACATGCAACTCACCTCTCACACACTCATCAACTAATCTAATCTGGCTACTACCCCTGCCAGTCTACTGAAATGGCCCTTGCCAAGGCAATTAACAACCTTCTTGTTAAGTCCGGTGGATCTGTACTCCTGATGTGTGTGTGTTTTTTTTTTTCCCCTCAGTCTTACTTGTCTCCTCAGCAGTATTTGACAAGTTAGCCATGCCATCGTTCTTGAGACATTCTCCCTGGAATTTTATGATGCTTTGCTTTCTTCTGACCTTTTCCTACTTCTTCTGTGACTCCTCATTCTCCACTGTGGTTCCAAACCCTGTGCCTGTGTCTTAAATGTTAGTGTTCCACACATTTGTGTTCTTGTCTTACTCTATCCATTCAGGTGACCTCATCCTTAATTGTGGCTTCCCCTGTAGTTGCCATCTATGTGTTGAAAACTCTTGACTTTTTTTTTTTGTTTTTTTTTGCAGTACGCGGGCCTCTCACTGTTGTGGCCTCTCCCGTTGCGGAGCACAGGCTCCGGACGCGCAGGCTCAGCGGCCATGGCTCATGGGCCCAGCCGCCCCACAGCATGTGGGATCTTCCCAGACCGGGGCACAAACCTGTGTCCCCTGCATCGGCAGGCGGACTCAACCACTGCGCCACCAGGGAAGCCTGAAAACTCCTGACTTTATACCCTTAGCCTAGTCTCACAACTGAGCTTTAACCTGAATATCCCCTAACATACTGAACATTATATGCGTGGTTCACCCATCAGTTCTCTCAGTCAACATTTAAAAAACTAAGCTCATCATGTTCTCCCTCAACCCTGCTTCGACTCTGTTTCTTGATACTACCATTTATCCAAGGCAGAAGTGTGTGTGTATACTTGTCTTTTCCTTCTCTTTTCACGGCCAGTCTGGTCCTAGATTTTCTCAGATTTCTTATTCTGTATCCCTGTCTCTCTCTTTACTCCAATCCCATCTGCCACCTAAAAGGAAACTATTGTTTCCTACTCAAAACACTTCTGACCCCAGATGTGTGGGGTTGTTTCACACCAGCCAGTTCTCTGGACACCAACTGGGTATCTTGCAGTTCAGTTTTAACACTAACTACCTGGAGCGAGCACAGACCCTGCGAGTTAAGGGCCTGGTCCCCACAGATTGCCCCGGCTCCAGGCACCAGATGCAAGTCACAGATTGTCACCTGTACTTCTTCTGACCAACCAACTATAAGTCATGGTTCCCACAGCCCTCTTCTCAGCTTTGGTAATTTGCTGTAACAGCTCACAGAGCTCAGTGAAACACTTACATTTATTGGTTTATTATAAACAATATAATAAAGGTACAGGATACAGCCAGATGAAGAGGTACATAAGCCAAGGTCTGGAAGGGTCCCAAGCGCAGGAGCTTCTGTCATATGCCATTGGGATGCTTCACCCTCCCAGCACACGGATGTGTTGACCAACCCAGAGGGATTTTTTTAAAATGGAGGTTTCGTCATATAGACATGATCAATTATTAACTCGAACTTTAGCCCCTCCCCTCTCCCTGGTCTTTCTGGTGACCAGCCCACATCCTAAAGCCCATCAAGAGTAGCCTTATTAGGGCTTTCCTGGTGGCGCAGTGGTTGAGAGTCCGCCTGCCAATGCAGGGGACACGGGTTCGTGCCCTGGTCCGGGAAGATCCCACATGCCGCAGAGTGGCTGGGCCCGTGAGCCATGGCTGCTGAGCCTGCGCGTCTGGAGACTGTGCTCCGCAACGGGAGAGGCCACGACAGTGAGAGGCCCGCGTACCGCAAAAAAAAAAAAAAAAAAAGAGTAGCCTTATTGGAACGAAAACATTCCTGATACCCAGGAAATTCCAGGGGATTTAGAAGCTCTGTTTAAGATATTCCTATCTCTCCCACCACTCAGGAAATTGAGTTTATATATAAACTCAATTTATATATGACTCAACTCTCAGATATAAATATATCTGAGACCAGATATATTTATTTCTCATTATGTCTGCCACCACTCTAGTTCAGGCTACCATCATCTCTTGCCTGGATCAGTATAGCAATCTCCACCCCTCAAATCCTTGCTGAGCTGTAAGTGTCTTTCTAAAACATGCTTTATCATGCCACTCCTCAGCACTTGACACACGTACTAGTGTGTACCTAGGTACTCAGTAAATATTTGCTGACTAAAGAGATGAATGTATGGATGAGATTTTTTTCCCCTTCTTTCTTTGTTCTCTTTTTCTTTTAGGCCTTAGAAATTAATCACAGGTTTTAAAGTGAAAACTTCCTTCTTAAATTGATCTGCACAGTTCTTCTTATGAATTTGTCTTTAAACAGTGTAGAGTTTTGAGTAGTACTTCATTCTTAGATCAGTATCTACTTCATTGTTTAAAGGTAGGACTTTATTTTTAAAGTAGAGACTTGTTAGAAATTCATGATCTAGTAGAGCATGGGCTTTTGAGTTTGAATAGGATTTGTCTCTTAAGTTCGACCACTTTAATGTGTCTTTTAAACCTTGAGTTACTTCCCTTTGCGTTTTATCATCTGAACAGTGGGTATAGTATCTACCTTGTGGCATTGTGGAGGACTGAGTAGATAGTGTATGTGAAAGTGTTTGGTATATAATAGGAATTAAATAAATTTGGAAATTACGATATAATGCTATCATATCAACTACGTACTATATTAACATAATTTTTGTCTTACAGATAGTGTGTGTACCATATCAGTGGCGTGTAACTATGCTCATCATTGTTCTTGTCAATGCCTTTGTTTCAATCATGGTAGAGGTAAGCACTTTACATAATTAAGTGGCTGCCTTGCTGCTTTGCAATTCTTGGTGATTTAATGGTAATGGGGGAAATGGATAGGTAACAATATGGAAGCCCACAAAGAATTTCAGTTTCATTGCAGTTAAATTCATTTAGCCTTCTCTTCTCAACTTTTCCATGAGCTAATAATAGTTATATTAAGAGATAGGACGGAATTCCCTGATGGTCCAGTGGTTAGGACTCCGTGCCTTCACTTCCGAGGGCGTGGGTTCGATCCCTGGTTCGGGAACTAAGATCCCGCATGCCATGCGACGTGGCCGAAAAAAGAGAGAGAGAGAGATGATTTAGCTGAAGTCATAGATGGGAGAAAATAAGCAGTTATAAATCAAAAATTAGTGACAGAGAAAGGAGAGAAGATTGGTGCTCAGGTGGCCCATAAACTGGTAAACCAGTGGCCATGAAATCAGAGCACCACCCAAGTCCTGTGATGTACAGTAAAATCTCCCATTTAAGGGAGGAAAGTGAGGGGGCTCCCTCCACGAAGTATAGTAAATATTAATCATTAGAGAGTTTACTGAAATTGTAAAATAGTGACCATGATGAACTTACCCAGTCTCAGCCTGCTTGCTGGAACTTCTTCCTTGGTATTTACTTCTAAGTTTTCCTTAGAGGGAAGAGGTCTTAAGTACTCTTTGATCCATTTTATACTGTATAGTTATTCTCCTACTAGGATTCCTTTAGGTCAGCTTCTCTAAAAGGAGATAGTAAGTTCTCACTTGCTGCTTATTAATAACATTTGGTCTGTTCTCAGAGCTACTGTTATTCACTCTTACAGTAGCAGTATGCCAAATGAAGGAGGAGATACAGTTGTGATTTTTAAGTTAAGGGTTTCATAGAGTAGGCTTTTGAATTAAAATTAGGTAATTTGTGGGAAACATGTATACTTTAGAGATAATGGCTGTAGACTTGGAAATTATGTTTAATTTGATATTTTTCTAAAAGATGACTTGGTATTTAAATTGGGGCCATAGTGGACAGCATGGTTATTATGGTACTGATCTTTTTAGGTTGCCCATTTTAATGTATTTTTGCTGTTTTATGGACAGTAGAAAGCATGTCCAAGATACTGTACTTTAAAAGCTTTCCTTTTTCTATAGTATAAGTTCATCTTTTCACTCAAATGTTATTTAAGATAAAATCTTTTTATAAAACAATTTCTAGGGAATCCTTTCTTAATCTCCCTTAATTTATTCTTGCTTACTATCAAAAGAATTATTTTTCATCATATGCATATAGATACAGTTGTATATAGATATAGATAATTCACTGTTAAGAAAAATACTTCAGATTATAAGCATTATTTTAATATGGGAAAGCCCTGAGGATTCATACTTTGTAGAAAATTTATCAAGAATTTTATGATGATTTATATTTGTTACAAAAGTCCTGTTGTTATTCTTTATCCTTTTGCAATATAAACTGAAATCCTCTATATGAAAACCAAATCATGTTTTTCACGAATGTCTCAGCATTGTGTGAGCCTTTTTAAATGTATGCGTTAATAAAGAATGACGTAGTCGTTTTTAATTCCTAACTCGCTGGACTATCTCTCAGAACTTCTTCCTTGACATGGTCCTTTGGAAAGTTGTGTTCAATCGAGACAAACAAGGAGAATATCGCTTCACCACCACACAGCCACCACAGGTTGGAAATCAGCCCTTACTCTCAATTCTTCACGTCAGTTGTGTACTCTGCATTGTGTAGGGTGGTATTCTGTTGTGTGTTGCTCAACCTTTTCCTCTGTGCCTGGCATTTCATTTTTTTGTAAGGAGTCCTAGAAGATTCATGGCAAATATTTGTTACAGTCTTTTTAGGACTTCAGAAATTTCATAACTCTCTTTTCCATTCCAATCCATATCTTCTCTGTGTGTGAAGGTCTTGTTCTCAGTGGTAAATTTTTCCATTTCTGTCTGGCTTCAATTTTATGTTTTCGGTTTTTATGAGTCCCGTTAGAGGCTAAATGAGATTTACGTAAATAAAGTTATGGAATGGGAATTGTTTCTTCATGGATCAGAGTCCAAAGGTCAAAACTCTGAGGAATTATTTCTGATTTCTTGTCAGTTACTGTGCCTTAATTTTGGGTGACTTTTTGGTTTTCCCCAGCATATGTCTCTCATCATTTAGAAACATTTTCAGAGAGATCGTGTTCATTTTTATATAAACCATGGTTTAAGGACTTTTGACTTTCTTTGTGGTGAAAAGAAAAGAGAAGCAGATGAATAAAACCCATTTTTTGGTGTTAGGATGTTGAAATTCTTGATAGAAAATATAGGTTAGTCTTGTTTTTTAAACCAGTACCATTGAATCACAGCTCTGAGCAGCTTTTTGAGTATAGAGAACTTGACAGCATAAAGTTCCACTCCCTCATTATTGTGCCCATTGCTGTTTGTAGGTGGGCGATATGCTTTATACACATGAGTTCTAAACCTTTCACTCATCCCAAGCCAGAAATCAGCTTTCCGAATTCAAGAGGATTCCCTGGCGTGGGTCACTCACTTATTTTTAGCCTTCTTTTACCTGAGTAGCTATGTCCTGAGCTTTGCTTTGGTAATTCATCAGGCTTGATGCCTGGTGTAGTAGTATCACAGGATCACTTTATAAGAAGCTCTGTAGAGCACCATTTCCTTTTCTGATGCTTGATGATGAGTAAGGATAGTTTTGTAATAATGTGGTAAGTCTGGAATCTGCTTTAGTTTCTTTTTCTCAAAGCAATGTAAGGCACAGTTGTCCCTAGTAAGTATGACCAGAGCTGTATTAGAGAGAGGCTCAAGTCCCTGAGCTACATCTCCTCTGTGTCTTGGTTACCTCACTACATTGCTTCAGAGGGTTAACTCTGGGTCCTATCATCAGTCCTCATATAAAATATTTGTACTGGCAAGGCCTTGGCCAAGGAAAACATTTCCATTGCGTTTTTAGCTTTTCCAAAGAGCTCTCCAACTATTGATCTAAACAGGAAACGCAGGTTCTGAAGAGGAGCTGTACCCTAAATCAAAAGTGGGTATCATAAAGCTCCTTTAAAACATTTGAATTGGAAAGCCTTCCTCACTTTTCAACCAAAATTAAATGGCAGAAAATTCTATCATTTGCTACATCTTTTTTCTAAAATTGTGTCCTCATTATTTTTAAGAGTTTGTGCCTCTTATGTGAGGTTGTACCTCTGAAGTGTTCTGGGGAGAGAGTGGTCTGAGCAGGGAGGCTCCCACCAGCCCCATGTGTTTACCAGTTCTGAGCACCACTGAGTAGACAAGAAGTTTGGCCTTCAGTTTCTAGGGTCATGTTTTAAGAAAGCATTTTTTAAATCATTGGCTTCAGAAAAGAGAGTTCTTATAACCTCTTAGCACAGAATGCTGTGCTTTCATCTTCCAACACTTCCGTTTGTAGTTTGCTCTCACTGTTCATATTTGTGACCCTTGGAGAGCCCATCAGTTAGTCAGATTACTGTAAGGCTGTAGTTCTCAATTAGGGGTAATCCCCCCATCCTCCCGGGGACACGTGGCAGTATCTGGAGACATTTTTGTCACAATTGGCGGGGGGGTGGGGGTGAGGTTGCTACTAGCATGTGGTGGGTGGAGCCTGAAGATGCTGCTGAGTAAACATCCTACAGCAGCGCCCACGACAAAGACGGTCTGGGCCAGCATGTCAGCAGTGCCGAGGCTGAAAAAGCCTGCCATAACGTGAAAAAGCAAGTAAAGATGAGAGTGACCTGCTACACCTAGGAGCCCATTCTGTGCTCTTTCCTACCAAGAGTCCCATGAGGTCTTCTAAGATCGCAGCTCTCAACCTTCTCTGTTAATGTCCGGGGAAGAACAGCCATGTTTCTTCATTCCTTCCTTACCATATAAACCCAGAGACCATTGAGTAAGGTTCGAAGTTTCACAGCTAAAAAGACCCTGGACTAGGCTCCAGGTCTTAATGCAGTTGAGTTGTGAAGTCGAGAACCTCACCTAGAAATCTCAAGTAACCATGTCCAAAATATCTGGTGATCCGCAAGGCAGCTATGTAACACCTCCAGAATCCTTCCAATCTTAAGGTGTTTCTAACTTCGTTTTATACATAAAGAAACAGCATTCAGTCAACTTGCCATGGTTGTGCAGCTTATGAGTGGCAGAGCTGGGAGTTGAAACCAAGGTTTCTGATTTCAAGAGGAGTGTTTTTTCCACTGTGCCACACTGTCTCACATTATGAGGCCACAGAGATGCAAACTAATATAACAATCAAGTGACAAAATGGAGACAAAGAACAGCTACTGTTTTCAAAACCTACTTTTTATGGTAGATACTGTGAGGCATTTTGTATAAATTCTCTCTAGTTGTTACAACCACCTAAGAGGTTAGGGTAGAGAGACTGAAGATATCCCTGTCTTCACAGATGAGGAAACAGTGTTAGAACTGGAATTCAGGTTCAGTTTTATCTGGGCCCAGGACATAATATTCCTATAACAGAAAGCCTCCATCTGTTCTTTAAAAACGAAATAAACCTTTAGGTGTCATTTTATTTAATAGTAGACCTTTTAGATATTATGTTTATTTGGCCCACTGAGCATACATACAACTAACCTAATTTAGATACAGAAAGATTTTTATATAATAGTCATTTATTTCCCACAGTGGTTCTTTTTCTTATTAATGCACAGTGGCCTCAGTAAATGTCCATTGAATCAAATTGGAAACAGGTTAAATAAACCATTTGTAAATAATCAAAGTTAAAACTTATGTAACTAATTGGTTTTTTTTCTGTAGTGATCTTTAGCAGCTCCAGATGTTAATACTTATTCTCTGACAAAAAAAAGGAAAAAAAAAAGATTCTTGAGATGTAGTGATTTTCAAGTAAGGATATTCATCACAAATGCCTTGGGCTCCACCTTTGATCTACTGAATGAGAAGTCTGCAGTGGAGGGGCCCATCACCTGTGTTTTTCTGTACAGCTTTCCCCGTGTGTGAGATCTGTGCTTCATATTCTCTTTTGAAGAAGCGTTTGTGCCTACCCTGTTTCTGGTAAACTGAGGCTGCTTAGTGGTAGACGTGGAACTGGAGTCATACCGTCATGTATTTTGATAATGCCTGAGAATGTGTCCTGATTATGTTTCCCTTCTGGGGGAAAAAATCCAGATGTTAGCTGTAGTCTTTATGCCACTTAGGGTATTATTCGAGTTTATTTAGATAGAATGCTCATTCTCATTGTGTTTGTCTTATATTCAGGATTGGTATGGAAGGAGAGTTTTATGAAAACCACAGTACCATTACAACATTTTCCCCATAAGCATGGCTTCACAGCTTACATACTGCCTATGGAAACATTTCCTAAAAGACACTGCTAGGAGTTAGCTGGCATTGGGGTTCTGGAATGGACAGCTTGGACTGGTCTAAGAAGCAGGAGAATTTTAGCTGTAGATCTTTTGAAAAGTTCTTTGTGTTTTTTCTGCTGGGCTGTGGTAGCCACTTTGCCTTCTCTGAGGGATACACTTGGTTATTTAACCACTCCTTTCAGGAGCAAATCACAAGATCCAGTTGCCGGGGCTCCTGTGTTCTGCTTCAGAGACTTACCCTAGATGTTTGGCGAGGCCTTGGTGCTCATTCTAAGCCCCGTGATGCTTCACCTCTTCCCTCTCCTTGTGCAGTGCTTGCCTTTGTCCCGTTGCCACTGTCTTTTCTCCCTTGATTTAGTTCTGTTCTAGCATGCCTGTAGCACTGTTTATTTTCTGTACCAGTGAATTATATTGTTTAAGGATGTCTGTGGTATGCTTGTGTTTGTAAATTAACAAGCCTATGCTTGCTTATAGTGTATTTTTTGTGTATGCTGTTTGGGGGAGGTGAGGGTACAAGAACAAAATATGAGTCTAATTATAGTGGAGGGGGGAATCCCTAGTGTTCCTTGTGACTGAATTTATTTTTAAAATTGTAACAAGTATATGTTGCTTTTAGTAGGGACATGAGGATTTTTTTTTTAAAAAAGCATGCACATTAATGTGAAAAGAATTGTGATTCAATTGTGATTCTGTTTGCAGTGGATTTCATTTTAATTTTATTGCTTGCCTCATTTTCCACAGGTGGGGAAATGATGGATTTTATTAGTGTGTGTGTGTGTGTGTGTGTGTGTGTGTGTGTGTGTGTATGTCTTACATTTGAATACACTTGGCTGTGACTTTCCTTAACTCAGCCTGTTTTGCATTGCTTTCAGCCCAGCTGGCTCATCTGGACAGACAAGGCCTATATATTTCTGCCTTTTTTTTTTTTTAAAGTCAGCGTTCACCATTCGCCCTTTTCTGTGATCCTTTAACAATGCTACTTGCTGTAAAATAAAAAGTGACAGCTTTCACATTGATTTAGGAACAGTGAATTTTTTTTCCCCTGCAATTAGACGGAAGAATTTAAACACCTCGGGGAAGAGATAGGTCCAAGTAGTGAACTGTCGCCTCAGATTAAATATTAAGGTTTGTCATGTATACACCTATACCGAAAAGGAATTACTTGTTATTTGGATCATCTGGAGAGTCCTATAGCTAACCTCTTCTATATTCTAATGCTAAATGTTTTCTTGTGGACTTCCTTTGAGGGGATGGTAATAACTCTCTTTTTAGCTATGACAGTAAAGAGGCTACTAGATGAATAATCCTCGAATCTGTATCCCCACTAACCCACCCCACCCCTAATTTAATATAGCTTACTTGTGAAAAACCACAGTTTTTGCCTTTAAATTCTTGGTAATGGTGCAGCTTACACGGTTTTGTCGACAGAGTAAACTAGAAGGCCTTTGAAAGCACGTAGCTATTGTGTATCATGCTCTGCCGCATGCCCACACCCAGTTTTGAAGGAGAGAGCAGTAGGCTCCTGGTGGTTGTCTCAGTACGATGAGACCTACCAAGTCAAAGTGTGAAGGAGTTTTAAAGAGTTTTCATTTTAAAGTATTTTTGCTGTTTTCCATTGGCCAATTTAGAAACCTGTGTTTCAGGATCTGTGTTACAGCAAATTTGCCTTTCTTGATCATGAAGATATTTTGAGAGTTAACATTAGAATGCTTCTGGAATTCTGTGAGATTACAGCTGACCCTTGAATAATGCCAGGGTTAGGGTTGCTGACCCTCCCCACAGCCAAGAATCTGCTATGATTTATATAATTTATAGGCCTACTGTATACAGGGTTCCTCCATATCTGCAGATTCAACCAACTGTGGATCGTGTAGTACTGAAGTATTTGCTAAAAAGATCCACATGTAAGTGAACCTGCACAGTTCAAACCTGGTGTTGCTCACCGGTCATCTTTACTTCAGTTGAGCTTAGACCTGGTTGTAGCCTAGGTTATATGTTGATGGCAAAACAAAACAACCTGGGATTTAAATTTTGCTTTGTAGAAGAAACATCCAAAATAGTTAAGAATTGACTGTTCTTCAGAGGTGAGTATAACTACAGGTCTCTACAGTCATTTAGTTTTATTTCATTTATCTCCAGTTCCAATTAAGACAAATTCTGAGGGCCTGTATTGAATTTACATTTCTGTACAATAACCAGGGACTCTGCTTTCTTGTTCTTCAAGAACTATTTATCTAAGATCCCATCCAGTAAAAACATTGGGATTGATCCGAAGGAATTCTGTTGACAGCAGCGCTTTTTATAATGAAATAATACTAAGAATTAGTACTTGCTTTATAGTTTTCTATGTATCTCTTTCCAGTTGTGGAGCACCAAGGGGAAACCATCATTATAAAATAAAATTGTTTTTTATGTTAATGAGAATGTGGTTTTAAAAGAAGTGATTGACATTAAATAAGATCTAAGTTCTGATTTTGACCTAACAGTATTTACATAATGCTTTGAAAGGTGATATTAACAGTAGCAGGGGTATCTTTACACTGTTTTCTTTCAAAAATGATCATCAGGTGGTTAAGCTGCTAGAAGCAGTAGTACCAAAAGATAGTTTAGGATAGAACGAGGGTTTTCATATTAAATATTAAAAATTTTTTCTCTGCATAGTTCGAAGTTATTCTTAATACATCAGATGTTTTATGTTATGGAATCACAGACTCCAGATATACAAGTTATTTTTAAAATGTATCTGCATACAGGAGGAAGTAGGAACATAGAACTAAATAAAATGAAGTATAAATTCCATGGATACTCTAGAAATATAATCTTAAAAAAATAATGTTCCTAAATAATGGAAAGCTGACTTTTTTTAAGCGTGGTTTTTTTTTTTCTTTCCTTCATGTATTTGTTGTGCTCAGAAGTAATTTCCTCTTATTTTTCTGTGCTGATGAACTCTGCTTTAACAAACTTGTTTAAAAACAACAGCTCTTAATCTACTGGGTGTTCCTTTTTTTCCTTATTTTCTTAGGAGTCAGTGGATTGGTGGGGAAAATGCTGCTTGTCCTGGGCCCTGAACTGTAGGAAGAAGATGCCAAAGGCCAAGTACATGTATCTGGCCCAGGAGCTCTTGGTTGACCCGGAATGGCCACCAAAACCTCAAACAACAACAGAAGCGAAAGCTTTAGTAAAGGAGAATGGATCATGTCAGATCATCACCATAACATAGCAGTGAATCGGTCTCAGTGGTATTCTAGTAGCAGTGTTGAGGAGAATGTAAATGTAGGACTAAATCTGATCCTGTGCGTCAGAATGGCACCCTTTCAATTTATGTCCCTTCCAATATAGTAGCTGATTTGAGGTTTTTTTTAAAACAAAACAAACAAAAAGAGATTGGCCTGTCAGTTAAATTAATAATCAATCTTCAAAGTCCTATACCTTCATTCAGTAACTCTAAATATTACATATATTTCCAGAACTTGCTTGATTGTTATCCTCAGTGATATTCTTTATAGGGTGCAGAAGAAAGTTGGTATCTGGAAGGTGTTTAGATATTAGCTTCTAAGACTTTAGTTTATGCCTTTAAATTTATTTTCACAGCCCCCTTATTAGAAAAAGTCATCATTTATTTACAGGCCCTAAATTTGTGGTTGATAAATAAAATGGGTGTTAATTAGCCTCCAATGAAAATAGGTACAAAGCCTGTTTTTATTTGATTTCAGTATTTCTCCCAAAGAAAACTTAGTATGCATACCACCAGTTCCCTTTAATAGCATAGAGTTAGGAGTGAGTTTTACGGTGTTGCAACTCAGGTAATTTCCATTTATGGTTTTAGATTTTCTGTACAAACTGCCTGGGTTTTATTTTTTCTAATCAGCAAGGTGCTTCACTGCCTTCTTGAGATGACCCTCAGAGCTATTAAGTGGATCTTGTGCTACATCTGGTGTCAGTAGTATAATTGTGCTTTAGTTGTTGAAGCCTTTTCAGAAGGAAAAAAGCTGATTTCTTTTGGCAGTAGATGTAGATCTACCTTTCTAATATCTCTTCATACCTATTTTTTTCCTCTCAGGCTTTATATTATTTTAAATGTCTTTTTATTTTCTTCTACGTCTTTAATTACCTAAAGACATAGGATAATAGTTTTTTGTTTTTTAGTTTTTTGAGTTAGAATTTTGCCTCCTAAAATTTTAAAGGTTTGATGTATGTCTCTCCTGTCGATGATGAGGCTTAAAAAAATGAGTGGTTTTGAATGACTGCTATTTTTTCAAAGCTGTATAAACCTGGCGAGTTTGTTTTATGCCATTAGGTGGCGCCAGAGGTCAGAGTTTACCTATTTTGGATTGGGTGTTTACGAATGAGCATATTTGGTTGTGGAAATTTCTGGGAGAAAAAAAAAATGAAATAGAATTAAAAAGAAAAGTCATTCATTGAGCCAAAAGAAATGTGGAAGATATTTTCCACCTTTCTGTTTTGCCTGGTTAATGTTTAAATTCTAAACAAAATTAAGGTAATCTAAAAATGCCTTTATAGGTAAGATCCAGCGGTTTGGCAAAGACCAAAGTTCTGATAAACAAGAAAACTGATACTGCTGTAAAGTGGACACTAAACTCCTAAGATTGTGTGATCTTATCCTGTGCTCTTCCTTGACCGGTAGCATGCTTGTGCTTTATACTTCTAGCTGATCATTATTTTCCTGATACATATTTACCAATTTGGTCAGATGTTACCCAGAACCATAAAACTAAATGGTTCTCACTTTTTATGCTGCAGAGACCTGATGATTTTTGGTTAACCGTAGAAAAACGTATGTTACACTCAGGATCACTGTTAACTGCTGTGGCCACTGATGATTCTTACAAAAATATAATCAAAGTTTTCCATCAAAAAAGTATGATACTATATTAATACACATTAGATGATAAGAACAATTGTTCCATGAATGATTCTATGAAGCTATGCATCTTAGACCTCTTGAGCTGTGAATTAGCACTGTTTTTATAGTTACTTACTCTCTTTATCATTTTATAATTTCCACATTCAGTTCACTTCCAGTACATATGAGTGACAGTCTTCAGTGATCTCCCACGATTGTAAATTTTATTCTTTGATTTAAATACTGAAGCATATAATTAAAGTAATTGCTAAGTAGCAGCTTAAAAATCCAACTATCAGATTGTATTTAACATCTTTAAGAGCATGATCATAAAGAGCTATATTTTTGACAACCTCCCCCCCTTTTTTAACATTTAGATTTTATAAGGGTTTTATATCACATCTGTCCATATTGTTTTCAAAGGAATGAGGTTTTTAGGTTGGTGGACAAGACAAAGCATTTGTAGGAGGTAGATTTGAACATAGACAAGGTGGGTTGTTCAGGTTGAAATGGATGGCTTCCAGAATGTGATTTGAAGAATGCCTGTGAGTCCAGGTGTGGGTCCTTCTTAGTGCCATAGATAGACGAGTCCTCTCTCTGTAGGTCACCATTACATAGTAATTTTAATTCTGAATTTCACATTAAATTATTTGAGTGTATACAGATCTAAATTTTAAAATCTGTACATATATTATTTTGACGTATTAAGATGAATAAATATTGCTGATTTAAATTTTATTTATGCACATACCTAAAGGACAGAAATGTCCAGGAAAGTAATTGTTAAATAATATGTAACTTTTTAACTTTTGAAATAAATAACAAGATTTTTAATGTGTGTCTCCCTCAGGGTTGTTTAAAGTTTTTTTTCCTCCCTCAGATATAAATAGTGGTAACTATATGTTTTGTATCTTTTAGCACCAACTGCTGTAAAGCAATGCTGCAAGTAATGCTTGAATAAAAGTGGCTAAGCCAACAACAAAAGAAAAACTTTTTATATTAGTTTTATAATCCCTACATTCGAAAGCTTTCCAAATTGTACTTGCATTTAAATAAAACTGTTGTAGTTTTTACTATTCATTTGGTTTCCCATGTTTATGAAACTACTGCACAGTTTCAAAGGCATGGAAAATTATATCAGTGTTTATGTACTCTGTTCCCCCAAACGGCTATGGATCCAATGTCCAGAGAAGAGCAAAATTCCAGCTTTAGAAAACATTCTAAGATTTCATGCATGCAGTTTTGACATATCTGAAAATAGGCTTTTTGTATATTTATGGTGGGAGGTGGTTGGGAACTTTTAACAAAATGTTAATTTTTGTACAGTCTGTAGGCATTTACACATATTTTTAATGTATTAAGATTTGGTAATTATGTGCACATTAAATTAATAAAATAATTACTCCCTGTTATGATTTGTGAATTCCCTGAGACTTTGGATTTTTTTAAGTAACTTTATATCAGAAATGATACTGCATCTTTATATTTTTTAAATAATATTGCTGCTCAAGAATGGTACCCTGATGTCAAAAAGGCATACATTCAGAATTGTACATTCAGCACTGTAAATAACCTTATGAAAAATTTTTGATTGAAGCTGTTCAAAATAAAGATTTGAATAATATATATAACATTTCTTTTTTTCTGTGTCTTTCTATACGTTTGTTTGCTCTTTAGTTGCATGAATACTGCCCAAATACTCTGGGTTTATTTTCCTGCTTAATACTTCCCCCATTTCTCTCTTTTTTTTTAACTTTGAATTTTTCAAGAAAATAATGCAACTTTCCACACACCACGTCATGTCTGACGTGACCAGCCCATGGAAACCCATCAGTCAGATACAGTGTAGAGCCAAATGTTAAGTATCTGGAAGTCTGAGGGAAATGGTGAAATAGAAGCCTAGGGACTTAGAATTTACTAGTAGTTGGGAAGATCAGACGGAAAGCTAATGCCATGTAAGCCATGGTAAGTTTGAGGGGAAGCGGCATCCATGGATGCAAAGAGAGTGCTCCATGGAACAGGAGACCTTGGAGCTAACTACTGGCCATAGGAATCCCAGAAAAGGCAGGATGTGCTGGGCCTTGTGCTTGGGTGGGAGGGCTTTCCCTGTATCACAGGTTCTGCAGGAGCCATGTGTCCTCTGCTGTGGGCCATGTGGATGGTTGGCTGGTGTGAGACCTAGTTTGAGCCCAAGTTCCTTCCATTCTCTGTGGGTTGTGTAGCAAATGATCGTGTCCCTTGCACCACAGCCTGCAGGTGGCAGTACAGTTCTGCATGTCTGTCCTTCCTATTCCCCCTCCATCACTGCCAGTTGCTTTACTCTGGGTATATACTGCAGGGAAGGACAGAGGGAGTTCTAGGAGTTTGAATGAGATCGTCCCCGTACCAAGTTGGGGTTGTGGTTACTCTACAAGTACAGAGAGATCGCTGCTGTGCCCTGGCCTTGGAGTCTCTCCCACGGAGGAAGAAAAGCATATCTCATTCGGCAGATACCTGGTTTTGAATGGCCAAACCCTGTAAGCCACGGTTCTGTGACTGATACAGAAGCTGCCACTTAGGACAGCAGATTCCTGACTTGTTTCATGGATCCAAAATCCAAAGGACTTGAAACACTGGTGCCGTCATTACTTCAGTGCTCAAAGTGCTTCTCAGTACCTCATCCATTTGCTCATTGGATCAACTCTGCTCCTCCATTGCCTGCAACTTCTGTGCCCAGTGTTCCCTTCTTGGCCCATCATAATGTCCTCTCTTCAAAATAAAACTTGGAGGTAATTCTCACGGGAGATCTTCCTGGGGAAATGGGCTAAAGAAGCTTCAGCCGTATTTGACTCGAAGTCGTCCTCTGATTATCCCACAGTACCTTTTCGCAGGCCTCTGTCATGCTGGCTCCTGGCATTTGATGGGCAAGGGGCCTTTCACTTGGTCTGCCTGTGTGACTGACGCACTGGTCACCAGGGGAGCTGTTCCAGGCTCTGGGGCTGCTTCCCTTGATTTAAGCGGAAAGACCGCTCAGTGGCTTTCCCTGTGTTTTAGGACTGCATGCTTAGAAGATAATTTCAGTCCCTTCAGCATTTAATGGGCTTCGACTGCATTTGGCTACACTAAAGGCTGAATAGATTTCAGTTCCTTTTCTATAACACCTGACAGTGTCGATTTGGGGGACTTTTTTCCCAACGATAAAATAATTTAAGAACCACTTCTGCTCACTGCACTCAAAGATTCCAGAGGTTAATGTTTTATTCTTTTGCAATTCAAGCATTGACTTTTCCCAGTATTTTAAAATACCTATATTCCTACCTTTTTTCTTAAATAATGCCATTTTCCCTTCCAAATCACTTTATATTTGCATTAAAATTTTTTTAATAGTGACATTAAGCACATTTGATAAAATTTCAAAGCTCACAGAAAGGTATATAAGGAAGTCACCTTTTTCCTGGTTTCTCCCCCAAAGGGGGAATACTAAAGTTTCTTGGGTGTATTGTTCTAGAAAAAATATATATGCTCATATGTTTTTAAAAATCCTACATACATAGAACCCCATGTTATATGCTATGCTGCCCTTGTTTTACGTCATTCAGTGTATTTTAGAAAGTTATGTCAGGGACTTCCCTGGTGGCACAGTGGTTAAGAATCCGCCTGCCAATGCAGGGAACCCGGTTTCGAGCCCTGGTCCGGGAAGATCCCACATGCCGCGGAGCAAATAAGCCCGTGCACCACAACTACTGAGCCTGCGCTCTAGAGCCCACGAACCACAACTACTGAGCCTGTGTGCCACAACTACTGAAACCCGCGTGCCTAGAGCCCGTGCTCCACAAGAGAAGCCACCGCAATGAGAAGCCCGCGCACCGCAACGAAGCGTAGCCCCCGCTCGCCGCAACTAAAGCCCAAGCGCACCAACAAAGACCCAACGCAGCCAAAATTAATTTTTAAAAGTTATGTCAGTACTTGCAGCTCAAATCCATTCTTTTCAAAGTCTGCAAGGCATCCTATTGCATGGATATACTATAATTTAAACGACTACTTCCCTATTGATGGTCATTTAGATTTTCTTTTTTTTTTTTTCTATTAAAATCCTGCAAATAGGATATATTTTTAGCAGTGGAACTGCTGGACAAAGAATATGTATGTTTAAAATTTGGTTGATACTACTAAATTTTCCTCCCCAAGGTTTGCTACCGTTTCTATTCCCGCCAATGTAGTATAAGAATACCTACTTCTTCACACTTCATAAAACACTGGATATTTTCAGGCTTTATATTTCAGTGTGGTGTTGGTATAGGGATTATCAAATAGCCCAGAAACAGACCCACACAACATTCATCAGATGTTGATTTATGACAGTGCTGACATTGTCGCTCTGAGGGAAGAAGGGATATACATATATAGGACAGTTGGTTATCCTAATAGAAAAAAATAAAATAGTACTTACATCATACACAAAAATCAGTTCTAGACAGATTAAAGACCTAAATGCGAAGGACAAAAAGTCTAAAATGTAATAATAAGGTGTTATAGGAGAATATTTTTTTGGCTTGAGAGAGGAGGAATTATTTTAATAGACATAAAAAACAAATCTTAAAGATTAATAACTCTGCCTATATTAAGACTTCTGTCCATCAAAAGACAGAAAGCAGGTGAAAAGGCAAAGCACAAACTAGATGAAGATATCTGTAACACCTACAACTGACAAAGGATTACTATCCAGAATACATAAATAATGCCTACAATTCAGTTTTTTAAAGACACAATCATACATACTTTGCATACAGAAAAATGGTCAAAAGAACCCAAATTTCTCAGAAGATGAGGCACAACTGTCCCTTAAAAATACGAAAAGATGCTCAAGTTCGTAATTTAATAGGGAAATGAAAAATTAAAACCATACCGAGACAATTATTTCATACGAACGGCAAAAATTAAATTTAAAAAGTCAATTCCAAGGCATGGGTGGAGATGTACAGGAACTATCATACACAGTAGGTGGCAGCATATATTGGCACAACTACTTTGCAAAGCAGTTTGACATCCCTGTGTTCAACTGAACATGTGGACACCCTTCCTTCAACCCAGCAAGGCCATTATGGAACATATTTGGGAATGTTTTTAGCTTTACTACTCCTAAAATGAAAAAAAAAAAAAAAATGAGTGGGGCACTTGAGAATGTCCTTAGCCTTATTCCTAAAAGGGGGAGAGGGGAACTGGAGTAGAAATGGAGCCAAATGGCAGAAAAAGGAACACCCAAAGGAAGTGTAGCCCAACCAGGGGTGTGGTTGCTGCAGTGGCCCAGCTGTGTCACTACTGGACACACATCACAGAGTCATATTGTGCCTCTGGGGAGAAACTGCTCTCCCTCCTGCTCTTATCATTCGGCTTTGGCCATAGGACTTGGGTGATGTATGGTCTCTTTTTCAAAGTTTGAAGATATTTGTCATTAAAAACCAGAATACGCCCTCTGAGATAGGGTCCTTAACATGACTTTTATTCTGGGAAAGCCTTTATCCTCAGGAAGCAAGGACACTTCCCTCTTCCTTTGGAAAGTGCCAGATCACATGCAAAGCTCTAAGCCTTTCAGTTGCTTTGGGGTGCAGCACCATTTCAGGTAAGGCCAAATATTTTAAAAATTAGTATGGGCAACTGGAGGGCTCTGTTAGTCTGTATGAATAAGAAATAAAATTTAGTACAAGAAGCAATTTGTTTAAAATTACATGTAGGAAACATTGTTTTGGCAGATTAGTATTACTGTATTTCACAGATAATTCAGTGCCACGAGTACTAATTTTTATTTAAGCATCTTAGAAGTGATAGCTCCTTATTTATGGCTCAATCAGAGATACTACTCTCAAATTCTAGCTCTGTGACCCTGGTTTAGTTACTTAACCTTTCTGTGCCTTAGTTGCATCATCCTTTAATTGAGGATGATATTAGTACCTAACTCATAGGGTTATTGTAAGGATTAAGTGAATTAATTTAAATAAAGTGCTGAGAACAATGCGTGGCGTAAAGTGATAGGTACTATTACCTACTATTACCTACTTTTCTCAGTGTGGTTCACTATTATGGGGTGGTCCTGTTTTAGAGTAAGTTGGCACTGAAGATACAGCATGACTGTGATAAAAGGAATCAGGTGATGGTTGCTGCTGTTTTAACAGACTTTGCTGTTCCCTTCAGGGCTGTAGGTCATAGCCACCCCAGGCTAAGTCATGAAGTCAGGAGCAGGGCTATGTTCACAATGCACACTGCTCTGTGATGTCCGTGAGCTTGACTGTGAGAAAGATTATTTTAATTAGTTCTCTCTATGTAAAGATTTAAAGGTATTGACTTTTCCATAGCTTGAAAATGCTTTCATTTCAACGATTTGAACAAAGAGTGGAAAATCAGTAAAACGAACGAGGCCTCGTAGTGTAGAATGAACGTCTTTTCACCACCCAGGAAAATCAGCACTCCTAACAGGGAGACTTAACTTGTACCTGGGTAACATTCAAAGTCAGTGATAATCCTGGCGAAAGGATCATGCAGTGTTACAAGACTGAAATTCGAGCGTTTGTCCTTTGTGTGTTGCCCACAGATCTGCCGCGGTCGCCTTTCCAGACATGCTGAGGAGCGCTCTGCTGTGCGCTGCGCTCGGGCTCCTGCGAGCCCAGCCCTTCCCCTGCCCACCCACCTGCAGGTGCATTTTCCGCGACGCCGCGCAGTGCTCGCAGGGTAGCGTGGCGCGCATCGCGGCGCTCGGCTTGCCGACCAACCTTACGCACATCCTGCTCTTCCGCATGGGCCGCCGCGCCCTGCAG